GTACAAGGGTAATGTAAAGCGTCACTTAACCCTCGTGCATCGCGTGGACACAATGAATGATTTGCCCAGTTCTGCGGACATTCTGATGCCCTCGAAACCGGCCGAAAGCTTTTCAACCTCAGCAAACATGTCGAACCTGCAAAGTATGCAGAGTGTACCGAACATGTCCAACGTACCGATCATGCAAGGTGTACCGGGAATATCCAATGTACCGTGCATGCAACAAGGTGTGCCGAGCATGTCTAAAATACCAAGCATGCAAAGTGTGCCAACCATTCCCAGCGTACTGAGCATGCAATGTACGCCGAGCATGTCTAGCATAGTTAGTATGTCCAACGTATCAAACATGCCAAATGTATCAAACGCCAGTTGCATATCAACCATGCCCGTGGTAACAAGTCTGCCAAGCGTGCCCGCGTCTTCGACAGCGACCACCGAAATCAAATCCGAACCGAGCGATTCGTAATCCATTTTTAACTTCGTTTCGTTCGTGACTGCTGTTAGATACGAAGAACATCGGCTGGCAGTAGAGTCATTTTTTATCCGTCAGATTCACTTTGGCGGAGTTGCATTGTTTCCTGTTGTTTACCATGTCTGTGCTTTAATTGGTTTGTTCCGTGTCTGTCATTTTATCGTTATAAAGACGTTTTCTGGCATTATGTCAAATTTTTTGTAATAATTGAGAAATGGTTATGCAACATCTGTAGGCGTTGCTTGCACTCTTGACTAAACATTCAGAACTTTTAAATAAAGTTGATAACGTTGTTTAGCAGCTATTGTTGTGGCTTGTCAGTCAGCTTCTTTGCTAGTTGATGTTCAGACATGAGCCTGTTTCCAAATAATGCGGGCAGTTTCGTACTAAACTGCTGATCTTGTTAACGTCTGAAAAAGTGCAGACATTCCGTAAGTATCCGTTTTTCGGCATACATATTGTAAACAGATTCAAGGATGCATCGTTCGAGAGTAAATTTAGACGATATCCGTCAGTCCTTCCATTAATCTTGAATTCAGAAAGTACTTGCCAGAATGTGATGAAGTTCTGGCAGCAACGGCCGTTTAAGACGTTCAGAACAGAACTATAAAACCGTGTAGCAGCTTCGGTTATGCAGGTCATTCTTCCTCGCAAGTGATCCTACTGATTTTGTCCGCTCCGTAAGGTAGGGAATGAACTTTTGGATTTATTCACAAAAGTATTAGATTTGATCTTGGAGGAATCACTCATTAAGAGTATAGGATAATATTTCAGGAAACAGAACGAATCATTATCGAACGACTGGTTGATCAGCAAGAGAAGGATGTACTCTATCTGCTTTTTCACGCATCCATTTGCTTTATTT